AGCGCCCTTGCTCCTAGTAGTAAGGCCAGGAGCCCCTAGTAGCGTCCGATCGCTCCTAGTAGCGATGCCAGGAGCCCCTATAGTAGCGTCCGATCGCTCCTAGTTCAAACTAGACAGGCCCTGCTTGAGAATTAAAATTGGTAATTACCGTGGAAAGTAACTGGCTGGACCTTTGGATACCTTCGGAATGAGGATGAGAGGTTCAACACTGGTTCAACATCTGCGCTGCAGTGGGTCAAAACTGGAGCTACAAGTAACAAGATTGTCATGACGGGATGGTAGGGTCTCGCTGGTTGATCCATCATGGTTTCGCTGCCAATATTGGGCGGGGGGCGACCTATCTCCACGTCCGATGCTGGGTGAGCCATCACCAGTTCTGGCTGATCTGCGCCACGTTTCCGGGCAGCTTCCCGAGTTCCACGAGCCATATCTCCTTTGGGCTGCATTCCTTCGCCAGGCTCCGGGCCCACCTGTCTAGACGACACGCATACTTCGTCTCTCCCGCCTGAACGGCACGGGCACCGTGCATGTTCAGGGAGATGTTCACCAAGCTATGAAAGGTCTTTTCCACCAAGACCTGCGACATCGAGCAGACAGGACAGCGATCCACCGCGATCCACGGCACAGTTCTGGCGGCCACATGGAAGGCCATGACGAGCACGTCGAAGGTCGAAAAAAAACATGGAGTCGATGATACAAGCTGGTCTCATTCTGCCGATTGATGTGCAATGGGCAACTTGATGTGCCGTGTATGCAGTACCCCAGTTGCATCATGTTGCATCTTCTGCGGTGCTTGCCTGCATGTCTTCCTGCAAAACAAAGGACATCTCCACATGTACAATGAATACTTGTGTTTTCAGCCCGTGCCTCCAGCTGCTTGGGAGTGCACATCTCCATGAGCTTCTGGCACAAATAGTTCCTGCAAAGCTAGGAGCAAGCAGTGGAAGCAGTGGAACCAGATTGAAACCTTGGAGTTGGTCATGGTTGAGTCAACTACAGTGGGTTTTCTTGGTGAACTACAAGGTGATTGTCAGGGATTGTTCTTCATGTCAGGATAACTGCGGGATGTCTTGAAAAGTCAATTCAAACTATGCTAACATTGCAGAAAGGTGAGCTTTCAGGGTGGAGAGGTGCCAAAAACATCACACCAAGGCTGGAAGGCTGGACAATGGTCTTCGCACATGGACACCCACCACACCGCATACCGTCGCCCATCTCTCTCTCTCTCTCCATCGACTCCTTTTCCACGATCGAAGAACCTATTCTGCAGATCTTCAGGACCTGCCAATCCCCTGATGTCACTAGGCACCCAAGAACCGTGACTCATTCCCCACCACGCGAGCCCCGGTCCCAAAGGGATCCATCATCAGCTCCACGGCATGGTTGGCCACCTGACTGCTTCTCCACAACGGTCGTCTGACATTTAAAACATCATTCTATCGTGGTCCCCCAAAGAGATGACCGTGGCACGGTGTCCAAGACATTTTCTACGTGTTTTTTTTTAACGAACTGCTATGTTTGATCTATGACAGGGCGTCTGTACCCAGACACTGGACTGCCATAGGACTGCCGCCCCATTGACCCCCAGTCAACCACCCCTGGCCTGATCGGCAGTCCTATGGCAGTCCCATGGAGTGTCTGTCTGTGGGTCGCTTCAGAAGTGCCGAATGATTTGCTGCAAAAAGAGATGGGCCAGGGAAGACGTGAACACGACCGTGACCGCCGGACCTGGGATAATGACGTGAATTTGGGGGGGCACGGCACGTCTTGCCCTTAAGAAGTCCTCATTTAATGCTTTTTTGGGGTAGCTCGTGGTAGCTCATCAGGTCTTGATCTTGCCAATCTTGAATTACTTGTTTGAGAGACTCATCGAATGCTGACAATTAATGTCTTTCTGGAGGCTGCCTTGCACGGCGCATCACGGCTTTGCCTTGAGACTTGAGTCGTTGGTTCGTTTTGAAGCCACCGCAGTTCGTTCGTTCACCGGCCCTCCGCAGTCCACTGATCATCACGGATCTCCCCGGAAGGAGCTGCTTTGGCTCTTCTCTTTTCACCATGTAAACCTCATATTTCTTAGAGTAAACTGTATTTAAAACCCCTACTATCCAGGATCTCCAAACTGGACACCCCAGTTTCAGCATGCGGAAAAGTCTCGTCTTCGCTGTGTCCACTCTCCAAAGACACATCGTGGCCTGTTGAGGGGTCTTAAGGGTCTTAAGGTGTCCATCTCGTGGCATACTGGTTCTCCTCTTCAAAGAAACGGAGGTCCCAATCTTGAACCTTAAAATGGCTTCAAGGTTAGGATGTCTATATCACTCTATATGGCTTTAAATCTCAATGTGTCGATTGAGAATCATTTAGATCCTTATGTTGATCTTCAAAGGCCGCTCAATCCTGAGATACCCAACATATCAGGCTTCTGCGGCGGTTAACCCCTGCCTCTCCAGTCCACCACCACCTGCCTCCTTGAAGACCGCATTGAAAATGTCAACTCCACCCTGAGTGGATCAATCGATCGGTGGACTTTCACATCACGTCACATCACGCCAGACCGTCGTCGGTCTAAAGGGTGGTTTTCTCCTTCAGAGCACCTGGGGGCCCCTTAAAGTACCCAGGACACACGACAGGACCCGGCACCATCCTGTACCCATGTTCCAAGGTACTGTTACCTTTAACAACCAAACTTTTATGGTCTGTTCATCCTTGGGAGTAGTTCACCACACATTCTGTCCTGCAAATGCTGTTGCAAACGGACCCGCAAAGGATCTCTTGAGATCTTTTGAGCCAACAGAAATCATGTACTGTAGGAAAGAAGAATCTTCCAATCAACATTCTCGCACAAAAAACGGAAAGAACCCAGGTTTTTCCCTTCCAACCCGTATATACAAGTAAAGACAAGATGTTTCTTATAGCTGCAGTCTTCCAGCTTCTCCCGACCTCATCAAGCTTGTGCTGCAGCATTCGGCAGCCTGCCTGGCACAGCCCATGTCTGTCTATGGCCCATGTTCTTACCACTGCAAGACAAACTGTCTGGAATCACTTTGCTACAAGGTTTAAACATGCTTAAACAACATATCATCAAGCTTGCCCTGCCTACTCGTCCCTGTCAGCAGGGTTTGGACAAGTTTCTTGACTGGCTCTGACGCATAGCATAGCAAAACTCTGGAAAGCAGTTGAAGAAGCTGCTGTTCAGCTTCCATAACAGCTGACTCTGCCTCTCCCTCCCCACATGCACCTGGTCTCTGGCAATGCTGTAGACGTGGCTCATGTAGGTATTGTTACTGAACATCTCCTGTCCAGGACTGTCTGAGGGACATCTGACGTCGGATCGCAAGTTACGTCTCGTACTCGACGAAGAGACGTGATGAGCACCGAAACGTGCGTAAAAAATCCGGAACGTGACCGATCCCTGAAAGTCCAAGACAATGCAAACGCCTTCAGCTTTTGCAAAAAGGAATTATAATCTTTGGACTGTTAGGGTCATCTCAAAGACATCCAGCGAAGATGAAGACTTGTGATTTTTCATAACTTGCTTGACACATGTTTGACACTGTCTCTGTCCTGAAAATGCAAACCATTGTAAAATCATCAAATAATCAATGAACATGGGGCTAGATCGAAAGCTCCCTGTAAAGAGTTGAGGACCGCGCAATTCTCCTCATTTCTCCCCAGTCCCCCCCGGCCTCCAATTGATTCAGTTTAAAGCTACTCCTGATCTGCCAAATCAGCAGCATCTGTTTGGTGTTTGGTTTGGTTTTCACGGGTCAATGGAAAAAATTGCGTTGCACAAAAGGCACAGCAAACATCCATCAGCCAAATGCGTGGCACAATTCGTTTGACCATCGAGGCGGTGGCCGAGGCTTGTGGTTGCTCGTCTCCGGCCTGGCCGAACGGCGACGCCGCGGCCCAGCCCAGCTGCGTCTGTGAAGCGATCCCTTCCCCGGTGCGTCGGTCGTCTGCGGCGCCGAAACGACCGTCTCCACCTCTCACTTCGATCAAACGTGCCGGGGAATACTCTGCTTTAAGAGCTGGACCGTGCACACCTGCGAACAGAAAAGATCATTGCTGCAAAGAGAAGAAGCTTGCTTTGGCTCAATCCGAAACACTTGCTTGCTACATGCCAGTCTGATGCTGCAAGTCTGATGCGCTTCTTGAAAAGCACAGCACTGACTGGTGTTTAAACGTTCCACGGTGGACGGTCAGTGCCAGACCTGACGCCTCCGCGACCTGCAGGTGCGAAGGAGATGGTATCCATGAGAAGAGGCACTGCGAGCCATGATACATATATATATATAGACATGATATATATATATATATACAGAAGAGAAGATGGAAAATGATATATATATATATATAGACATGATGGTATCCTTTCAAGATCCCCAACACATTCAGAAATTGTCCAGAGTGGCTCAACTGCAAATGTTCGAACTACGTAGTACAAGCAAACAACATACGAGGAAAGAAGGGTGATCACTGTGATCACCTCAACGGTCTCTCTTTTCAGGGTGACTGAGTCTAAGGATGTTGTTTGGCAAGAGTGTTCGCATTCATTCCGTAGATGCATAGAACCGCGCGGAGTCATCAGGGGTGTCTGTCTCACATCCGGCATCCGGCTGCCTCCCATATGCTGATGTCCGGCCCAAGGGCAGTGGCTTAGTCTCAACCCCCCAAAAAAATGAATGCCATCAGCTCATGACGGCATGTAGACTCACACCAACTCACATCACTATCACCAGCAACCCAGCAAGAGTATCTCTCACCTGGCACGTGGATTTTGCCCGGCTGGAGAACTCCCACAGGGGTCTTCTCTTATTTGTTTTGAGGGGGGAAAAAGGGTCTGCCTGTCAGAGATTCTCCCACGTCCTGGCACGGCCTGGCACGGAGGAGTCTGATGAATTCACATCAAATATCAATTTCAAAGTCCCTCTTTCAGGGTTTCCGAACTGCTTGCGAAGGATATCCAGCCACCGCGCAGGACGGTCTGAAAACGACATCGATGTCGGCGAGGCTCGCCAGGTGCCGGACCCGAGCAGCTGCCTTAGGCCTTGCATCTTGGACCAGTGGACTGCGGACGGGTGGTGTGATCCTAAACCCACCAACATGTGGGAGGGAGCTCTTCATTTGTTTCTTATCAAAAAGCAATGGATGCTGAATGATGCTGCTCAAAGCCCGGCAGGACCGCTGCTCAAAGCCCCAGTGCGATCTGTCCGTCAAGAGTCTGGGGGTGCCAAAACCACGAGAAATGGCGCGTTCGTGGCCCTTTGGTTCTCGTGAGACCGATATAAACTGGTATACGCGTGAATGTCAGGCTACCAAAAAAGCCTGAACTGGTATGCTGATGAGACTCGATTGGATGGGTCTGGATGGTGTCAGTCCGTCTTGGAAACCCCGACGGTGTCGACCTGGTAGCAGTTCCAGGACCTGCCAAAAGCAGCAGTTCCAGGACGTGGCGGTCACTGAGTCACAATGCAAAGCCGCAACTTCAGGTTGTTCTTCTTTGTTTTAACATAGATGATCTATGAGGTCGTGAGCAAACTAAAGGTGCCCAAATGGACTGCCATTGAGGGCCCAAGTGGGGTGTGCTGCATGCTACCAGAATGTCAATAATTCATTCGAGCTGCAAGCGACCTTGAATTTGAGACATCCCCAACAATATATCATTGGACTGGCCCGCCTCATTGCTTGTTTGAGTCCGGACCGAGACCTACCTCAACATCCACCAAACATCGCCGTGCTAAGCAGGGTGACTTCAGGCACTTCAGGAAGGCAGGCACCGCCCGAGTAACCTCACTGCGAGAGAACCGGCGTCACGCCTCTTGCGGCCCTGTTGATGGCCTTGGAAGCGAAGCTTGGATTGGCGACGGGGAACTGTCCATGGAAGTGCAATCACCGGGCTTCCGCACAAGTTATATAGTCTATATAGTCTAGTTGATTCAGGTTGGCTGGCCACCCCATCATGTACAAAAGGATACCAAAGTTTTAAATGGTGCTTGGACAAGAATGTATGGACATTTTAGTCTATCGTCGCCTTTCTCCACTATTTAGCTCATCTTTGACAGACCCAAGTCCGAGCTTCGCCTGCTTCGCCTGCTTACAACGAGCGCAACAACGAACACGGCGCTGGACCGCGCAACGAACCATCGGGAGCGAAGCGTGCGTCTTTGCTCTGCGCGCCTCCACCACCGAGTGCGAGAGCTCTTTGGGGCCCACCTGCCACAGCGGCCCACTTTCCAGCGAACCGGTCCCACCGAGTTCGAAACAAACATGGAAGATAGGAAGTATGAGAACGTCGAGGAATTATGAATGGGACTTCAGAATCTATATTCTAGAGTTCCAATTCTGGCGCCGTGCTGGTGAAGGCTTCAAAAGGAGCCCCCAAGAGGAGCTGTACGCGTGTCGTCCGACTGCCGCCTCAATGGCTCACGTGGCTCGCGCCGCGACGGAACCCGTCGTCTCGTCCGGACCTCCTCACGTCGCTCATGGAGCTCTTCCGCGATCTCGGGGGGCCGTGCGAAGTCCAACGAAATGAGAAGAGGTGCTCTGTGAAAGAGGAAAAGAGAGAAAGATACAAAGAAAGAACAATACTTAAGAACGAGAGAGAGAGAGAGAGAGAGAAAAACGTCAAAAACAAAAAGAACTGTCAGACCATGGCGGACTCGTCTGCTTAAGAGGCACCGTACTGTGACACCTAACACGTGAGGGGTTGTGTGATCTGCACTGGGTGATCGTGATTTACGGTGATCAGGGGCCGCATTTGACTGATGAGCATGTTCAGGACGTCACACTGGAGCTTCTTGGGACCTTCTTGGGACCTATTTGGGACACAAACTTGGCGAGTGTCTTCCTGGTGAAGCGCATGGAAATTGCATGGCTGCCCAAAGAATTCAAAAACATTCAAAACCAGTCCCAAAGCAAGACAATCTCCAACAGGAAACACCACAAAAAGTCCGGCACGCTTTGCTCACAGGCTTCACAATCAGCACATGCTGCAAACCTTCCCTGAGCTCTTGGCTGGTGGGATGGATTGGGACATCAAGCTCATGGGAACCTGCCAGGTTCGCCCGGGCCACGCATCACGCCATGGTCCCCGGTGTCATGCGAGGTCCCTGAGACCGCCGAAGGAGTAGTCAGGATCTGATCCCACTGGGCCCCTCCTTTTCCAAATATAAGTGCCCAGTCCAAGTCCACATTTCCGTATTCTTCAAACACAGCCTCCCGGTTTTAAAGAAGACATCTATATGGTCGAGCTCTAGCCCGCTGCAAACGAACAAGGAAAGGGGACCAGGGACCGATAGGACGATTCTCCTCTACCACTATAAGCGGTGGCTTTCCGATATTTTCAGGGTCCATGTTGATCTGCTCAGAGGATACCTTCTCGACTTCTTCGACTTCAGCGCCGCGATGGTCCAACCGTGCGCCTGACTCCATGGATAGGCTGTTCCCGGCACGCCCTGAGTCGAACCGGTGGGCATTTCTATGCACCGGTGCGAGAGCGCCCTAGAGATGTTGTGCTTGGAGGTAGTTCTTTGTTACCGCCTCTGTTCATCCATCATCCTTGAGTCAAGTCCTCTCGTCTTGAGATGTTGTTCATCCTTGCGCCCATCCCTCGATCCCTCTATTCCAAAGCCTGTTGCCTTCATGAACTATTGTAATCCTTGGTTAAACCCCTCTTGGCACACGTTGTCTGAAGAACATCGTTCAACACCTTTCAGGGCAGTCTTTGCGGCCGAACAATAAACAAAACACACCCACAGAAGCCATCCCCCTTGCTAGTGAGAACAGAGGTTAAACACACCAAATATTTGTTTAACAGAAATGTCGGTATAAAATGAGTAATAATCGGTCAAATGGGATCATAAGCCAAACTATGTTGGCTCACATTGCCCATGCAGGTCCCTCAGGTTCTGAAGGAACCATGACAGCTTTGTTCGTCCGCCGAAGTTCGACCAGGAATCCTGACATGTCCTGAATCAACTGAACATCTTTGGACATTTCAACTGACTAAGTCGACACTTTCCCTGAAACCAAACCTCCGCACCACTTGGCGGTTCGCTCACCGCGGCGACGCGCGGAATCGGCGAGGCTCCGCCGCCCCAAAGGAAGTGCCCAGCAAAGGTTGGTGCCTAGCACGTTCCGGCGGAGGCGGGGCTTGGTTCGAACGAGGAAAAAGCAGGGATTTGAGAGAAGGATTCGTCCCCCCCCTGGAGAGATTCCGCTGGACAGTTCTCAGACTGTCTGAACTTTCTTATGTTTTTGTTGAACATTCTGTGATCCACTCCTCCACCCCGAACATCCTTCCATTCACCCCCATATGGGCGCGATGGGCAGCCAACGAGCCAAACAAACGGTGTCGGTCGAGATGCTCCACGGACCGGCTCAGCTGGGGTGGTGCCGCGGCAGTCAACAGACCCATGGGTTGTGTCGGGGACATGAGAAGACACCAGCTATAGACGTCCTGCATCAATTCATTGACATCATCAGACCGCCTGGCGAGCGCTGCTTCAAAATACCTCGGAACTCGTGGCGCGTTGCGACGTAAACGGATGATGAATCAATTGCAGTGCTCACTGACAGCCCTCTCCTTCCTGGACTTTCTGAAGTGGACATTATCTATCTTGCATTTGAGCAGCATATGCCCCGATCAAATGTATGGCATATAGTTACCCTCAGTAGTTTCAGGGGATCAATGTATGGCATGGTTACCATCAGTCGTTTCAGAGGTCTAGGTAATTCTATCTATATATCTTTTGTGTCGAACCCCTTGCTGCTAAATGTTGAGCTCTTAGGTTCGCAACGCAAACCGGTCTTGGGAAATAGGGCGAAAACTGGTGTCGACGAGTTTTTCCAAGAGTACATAAACATGTAATGATCCTCACTAACATAGAATCTGGAGGAACAAGGATGACTTGAAGCTTCTCAAGGTTCTTTTGTGTGTGCATTGAAATAAGAAGACACACCAAAAACTCGGACTTAAGACCCGTACGCCAAGAGCCTTTTTGGGGGTTTCACGTCAAAAGGGTCGACGGGTGCTTCGTGGCTCCCTTCGTAGCGATGCCTCATGCCCTTTGCTACGAACGTCGCGTCCGTCGCGTCCGTGTTCCTACCTAGAAAGGCATACGTCGTACGTACGCTGCGGCTGTTCTGCGGCTTCGCGCTGTTCTTCGCACTGCAGCGTCACAAGTTAGAGATATAACGTCCTTATACTGTCACCCATGAACAACGCCCAAGTTTGTCTCCAAGGAGCGGATCCAGCCCTGCCGTGGCCGAGCCCAGCGGGAGGCCTGATGTCTGACTCGGACGACCCGGCGGTATCGTCACGGTCCATCGGGCGACCATACTTCACCTGGGATCATCCACTGGGTGAAAAATGGGACCTTCAGCAGTCCAGTGTCTAGCCAGGTGACCCAGTGGATGATTCCAGAGAGGTATAGACACTATTCACACCCAACTAGGTATCTTGTTGACCCTGGTCACCCTGGTCCGAGCATCTATAATACGCACACTATATTATAGAAGTACGGAGAATGTAAGCTATAAATTTGGCACCAACTGTCCAAACTGCCCACTGGGCCACGTCGGACTCTGCTTGTGCCGTGCCTGGAATCGATGCACCTGGAACCTGAAGGCGACAGCGCGAGCGCGAGCGCGAACGCCAGGCTTTCCCCTCTTTTTCTTTTGCTGAGAGATAACTCGTAGGAATCATATGTTCGGTGAGATACATTGTACTGCTTCAGGAATTCTAGCCAGCGCCCCAATTCAAACAAGAAACACAAGAGGCAGCAAAACATTGGCTGCATCACGAGAGTTATGCGTCCCTTTTGACGCAGTGTGCACAACTCGCACCATACAGACCATACATGGCTGAAGATGGCTCAATGGATCGAAATTCATGGCTCAATAGATTTAAACAAGTCAATAGAAATTCAGATTTGGACGGCAAGAGGTGCAGAATTCTCCTTCTGTCAGGCTGCTCTTTCAATGCCCGAAACAAAGGTACCATTATTTCGCCTGGACACGATGGCAAGAAGTCAAAACGATTCATCGAACAATACACGTTCCTCCGTACCCTGAGTCCTTCCTGAGGCTCGCACCCCAGCTTGGCCATCCTGGAAGACCGCACAGGAATCCACTTGGGACCACATGAATGAAGGGGTCCTGGACCCCAAAACGTTTCAGCCACATGAAGTCCCAATCGTATCGACCGCCGGTGTTGACACATCTTGGCAGTTTTGGCCGAAGCCTTTGGAATTGAGTGGCCTCGGAAGCAGCTGTGTGAAGACTGCTAGCCCTTCGATTCGCGAGTAGCGACATCGCTAGCCGTTCATCCAGAAAAGACCGACCAAGCCGAAAGCGTTTTGGTAATCCCACAGTGACCATGGACGAAAGAATATGACATGTGCCTTTAAGGCCATGTTTTTTCGTGTCGTTGGACACCACTTGTCGTGCTGAAGTGCTTATGAACTGGACCTTCTTCACTCCTCTGATCGACCGGTCTGCTCATGTCGCAGGTCCCAAGATCCCGATGTCTGTCCACCTTGAAACCTCACTGGGTCGTGCTCAAGACCAAGTAGAATTGGATCTATCATGATCTATCTGGTGAGGTAAACCCCCCAGACATAGGACCCACAGGAGAAATGAGTGTGACATCTGTCTCCCAGCTGTGGTCTTTTGCCCTGACCTTTTGTTCAATCCAGCTGCTTCTACGGAAGTTTGAGGGTGAATGGCTCACACTAGACTTCGGAATGGAGTCATGCCGTTCTAAGATGCCCTCGATGATTTGATTGGATCCTATACTGGGGTACCGCCAAGAAGGAACTGGGGTGAACAGGGGTACCTTGAGGCTTAACAGTGAGGACTGTCAGTGAATGGAGCGGGCGGCAGGGTCCTATATGTGCCCAAGTCACACATCGATCCACTGGTTCAAGTTGAGTCCACCGCCAAACAAACAAAATGTTTGCTATGTCGAGGGACTAAGCTCTCTTTGTCACATTGCTGCTTGGAGCTTTACAACAAACTTCCCTCCTTCGCCGGTTCCCACACCACCGTTGTCCTGTGAGGTCACGTGGGAACTGGCACGGCGTTTCAGCCGGTGTTTCAGTGGCTGGCAGTGGCAACTCTGTGATTCACGTCTTTCCCAGACCCCTGAGTTGAAGACCATGATCAAAATTCAATTCGAAGTGAAATGAAGTGAAGGGTTTTGGGAGGGCACTTGCCTACGCGCACCAGTCCACAGCATGTCCCTCACATCATAGTGGTCATCGATGGCCATACAGTTTGATTGGTTCTTGCAATGACCACTCTTGTTGCAGCAGTTGAAAAAAGGTGTGCGGTGTCACAAATGATTCGCCCATGCAGGATACACATGGACCACTGGATATACATGCCACGGAACCATAATTAGGAATGGATCCAAACAACAATTATGCCAACAACAACATCGCAAAAACAACACAATCTCCTTCCTCCCAGCTCCTTCAAGCTGATTCCCCTAGGTTGTGCCAAATCAGCCACTGGACCAACATCAAAGAAGAAACAAACTGGACACGTCCGACGCAGGGAAACTTCGGTCTTTGGGGGGTTCTTCTGAAATTTACAGCATGACGGAGAGGAAGGACACCAGCACCCCCCCCCCCAATGCTTTTGATATTTGAACACATAATAGACATGGCCCGACATCCTCTCCTGCCCGGGTCTCTCACATGCGAAATGCCCTTTCTTTTCGGTTGCCGACCGGCGCCTCATCGCCCCATCCCACGGTGGCGAGGGGGATCCTGAGTGTCGCGTGGCGTAGCGAGGGGTGTGGTTTCGGGCGCCTTCCCGAGTGGCGAGGATGATGACCTGATTGTTCTGCCAATTCTGTTTATAGTTCTTCAGGGTGGAAGAATTGAGCAATTGAAAGAAGAAGCAATCAAAGATCGGTCAAAAAGGTTCAAAGGAAGCTTCAGCTACAACAAAGGAAGAAATAGCAGCGTGGCAACATCCAGCTCGGTGGGGCTACGCTGCTTCGATGTCCTCCGACCAATTCTCTACAGCTATATAGGCATGTGATGGCGCATCCTCAAAGAGCTTCGGCCAATAAAGCACAAGCCAACGAAGCTCCTTGATTGTGACATCCAAGAAGCCAAAATTGAGTCAACTCCTCATCGGTGCCTTCTCTCCTTTAAACATATAAAACATATATATATATAGTATACAACAAACACACACACACACACCAACAAGATCTAGAAGGACAACATGATGTCTGTGAACATGGTGCCTTTGCTCCGGTCTTTTACTTTCAGGGAACCCTTGCAACAGCGCTACCCATCTGTACACTGTGAAGGGCTATGGCTATGACATATGACTCGTCACATCCAACAACGGAAAAACAATATGGATATAGGCTATGGTATCGGTGCGGGAAACGTTTTTGTGGCTGGGGTAGACATGTGTCTAAGTTGTAGACAATTGTTTGAATTGGTGGCATCCATGCTTTCTCCCCTCTATCACCTTGCATTTGCCTAAACCTCCGGATAGTATTAGTTGTTGCTCTATAGATTGTTCACTGCCTGCTTGGCCAAATTGGTGGGATAAAAATTATAGGTTGCATAGCTTTTACAAAACCAATGGCATAAACGATAAGAAAACAAAACAAGTGACACAAATGAACGTCAATATATTTAAGCCTAGCATAACTAAAGAAGTAAACGTAAGTGATAAAGGTGTATATTTATGTTACAGTACTTCATTTTTAGAAATTGCTGACGGAGGTTCACTAGTGAACAGCAACTGTTTCCCTCAAAACACAAACACAAAGCCTTCTACAAGCTCACGGCGGATGCGCGGAGAGTCACAAGACCCTGCCAGAACCAAACTTGAGATATGCTCACATAACACCTCAAAATCCCTCTGAGAAGAAAAAAGACCTCGGAAGATATCGGTGGTGTGGGAAAAGCACTTGGGTCACTTGATTTGTCCTGGATGGAACAAACTCGGACAAGCACTGGGTATGCTAAGCGCCACACTGGGTACATGGCCATAGGAGGAAAAACCCGTGGCCTTAGTCTCTTCGCATCTGCAAATGGAGCGCCATCTTAGTACGTCCGAAGGGTACAGGTCCGACGTCTTCTTTCAGTGGCTCATGAGCCAGGTACAGAAGTCCCGCTCTCGCTGTCTGACAAGGATACACCATGCGAAGCCAAGACTAAGAGTGCATGCAGCAGCCTTGCAAGTCAGCCCCTGCCAGAACCAGACTGGCCCCTAGGAATCGAACAGGTGCAAAGCCCAAATTCTTCTGAGCACCTGCCATGTGCGTGCTGAATCCAACAGGGCAACAGTCGTGGAAATCACACCATGTCTGGAGTCCACCACCCAACATGCTTCGAGTTGAGTCCTTAACTTGAAAACTCTAGGCCCAAACCGGCACATTCAACCTATAGGACTGGGGAGGGCACTGGCGAACAAAAGAACAAGCTGCCCCTGCTCCCCCCAGAAAACACTGGATGACCTGGAACTTCAAATGGCCGACTTTCCCAGTCGTACGGCATTGACTGCTGCGTTTGAGTCTTATACTTTAAACATCTTTAAACATCTTTAAACTACTTTAGACACCTTTTCTGGGTGTTGCTTTCCGGGTCCCTCATGGTCACTCCGTGTTTGCTGCACTTGCTTTCTTTGAGCAGTGCTCAAATAACCGCCAGTCACCTGCCCTGACTTCATCACGTGGGAGCGTGAGACATCCTGCGACGTTTCGCTTTACAGTTTTCTGACATTTGAGAGGCTGATTTTGGACAGGATAGATGATACATGGGCCCTCGAATCAGGAAAATGTCAAACATTTTCAAACCATCCATGCGCATGAGTCCAGCTCGCGCATGATCTCTCATTCGGATCTCTTGAATCTCTCATGTCCTCTCCTTGCACCCGCGCCTCCCAGACCGTCTTTTTCCTCCGCAACTCCCAGACCATCTGAGCACCCCGAAACCCGAAAAACCCACGGAAGGGCCCCCCCGGGGGCCACCCGGTTTCTCGGTCGCTTCCGACGCCGGCCCAAATTCTGACCTCAGAACGGTCGCGGCTTTGGACGGCGTCGCCGAACGTGACCGGTCGACGTTTTGGGGAGGCACAAAACCGGGGAAAACCAGGCAAGACCCAGGGCATGTTGTTTTGCAAGATGTTCGAAGATCATATCCCAGACACGACCCAGGGGACTGCCATAGGACTGCCGCCCCATTACACCCCCAGTCAACCACCCCAACTGATCGGCAGTTCTATGGCAGTCCTGAGTGTCTGGGTATGTCTACGAGATTGGAGAATTCTGGGGGAAGATCCAGACAAATTCCACACCGGGGTTGGATGTTGGGCACTCTGTTGGGCACTCATGAATTCAGGATGTTGGACAAGTTCGCCGTCGACCCGCTGCCAGGTTTCGCGGACCAGACCGACACATCCGTCATAGCTTTCTGGCCCTGGACCCCATGCCCCAGTGCCCCAAGACACCAGGGCTTGAACAAAAATAACAGATGATACTATAGTTGCACATGAACAAATAGATGACAAACAGTACGCGTGTATAAGATCATGATCAGTATCTCAAACATTCTCAATTATATATATACATATAGAAAGACATGTCAAATCAAAACACATTAAAACATCAAGAGTTCCAACATGTTCCAAGAGTTCTGTCGCCCTCTGCGGTGCTTCTTGGAAGGGTCACTCACTGTTGGGTACTCAAGACCACCCCTCTTTTCGGACTTCCTGGTACAAAGTCTTGCGTCATTTGAATATGTATATGATATTATATGTACTTAAAAACATAATGATGTACAACTCTTTGTTCTATTACATATTTATATTACATATGCATGGTATCATCATCAGCTTTGCCAGTGCTTTGCACCTCCAGTCGTCTTGCTTTCCCGAACGCCCAGACGTTCGACGTTGGACACGTACGCACCGTACGGGCCATCCGACGCTGTGACACTGTTGGCCCGGTGATTCACAATTTCCTGAAGGACACGACATGGGGAGTCATCAGGTGGACAGTCACATCAGGTGGACAGTCAGATGTGACGTCAGTCATGAGATGTCACATGAATACTCTGCGAACGTGTGCAGCTTGTTATTCTTTTTGGGACAATCCCGCTTGTTCTTGTTGTTCTTGTACTTGTACTTAAGTTCTTGCCCTTGTTGTTGTTGTTGTTGTTGTTGACAATCCCTCCCTGAAAATGCCGAACGCGCAGCAATCCCACACTCTCTCTGTCTGCATCCGGTATCTGAACCTAAATTCCCAACTAAAGGCTCAATAGATTGATCTTCAACCCGACTTGGCCTGGCAAGGGTCCAAGGGCTTCGGCAAATTCACCTGAGACGCGTGCGTGCGAACCGCAACCAGTGGCGGAAGCTTTTGGGGACGGCTGGCGGAAGATCCAGGTCGGGCCAATTACAAGATCGGCATGAAGAAACAAACTCCCAAAGACCTGGATGATCCATGCAAGAGGATCAAATGTGGGTCAAGTAATGCAGACTCTTGATTAATAAACCCCCGTATGAAGAGGAGTTGCCATTTCAATTTGGTGCTTGATTAATCAAGAGTCTATATTATAGCCTATAGCCTATAGCCGTGAAGCTGACCATAATATAAAGATACTCTCAAGTACTGCAGGACAGGTGAAAGCAACAATTCATGCCTTAGCATCCTACCACCGCTGCCTGTCCATCATGTATGAAGTGGTGGTTTCTGAATGAAGTCCGAGAGACGTTCTGCCCCTTCTTCATTTGCCAGAACTGCTGGTACAAAGGATCACAACCTGAGTCAAGATCACAAGAGCTGCTGGCACTCAGGATCTACAGTACAAGTCGTTTTGTCCATAGGGACAAGTAAGCGAGGGATACCCCACATGCAGAAGTATTGCTCTTTCTTCCAAACAATCCAAGATCTGCCTTGGCACACTCAAGCATTGCAGAATGTGTCTCAATTCGAGACTGGCTTTACACTCATCCGATGATTTGACAGTTCTGACCTTGTACCCTCCATTACCGTCCATCCAATCACAAGATAATAGAATTCCATCTCCTGTGGTTTGGGGTGCGAGAAAATCTTATTACAGTATATTACAGTATCTTGCGGGAGTCTGTGCACTTCAATTGTCTTCAACTCTTCTGCAAGACAACCACAGCTGAGTACTCCGGACGGATGTCGCCATAGTCAGCCTGACATGTAGACCAATGGGATGACCAAACACGTGACCAAGGACGGCCACCTCTGGAGGCTTCGGCCACCACTGGAGGTTTCCCCTCAATCAAGACCAACAAGACCCATCCGCATACCCTCCAAAAGAAACGAGTCAACAAAGATGTGGTTCAAATGAGTCAACAGAAAACCTCTGACCTGCGTCGAGTCCAGTGTGAACCCCACAGGTTATTGTATTTTGTTTGTTTTCTCTCTCTCTCTCTCTTCCGAAATATACCAGTTACTTAGAGCAATCCCTCCATGAACTCGTCTTGTCACCATCGTTGTCTCACACGTCGGCGTCGCATCTCTCCTGCTTCGCGTCCCCGCTCCCTCTCTCTTTCCATCTCCCTTCCCCGCCTGGTCTGATGGGCCGCACTCCGGCGGCGGGGCACTGATGGGCCGGTGAATCGGATCAATGGCCCGCACCGCCTCGCGACCGAGAGCTCCATGTCTCCGGCTGGGTGGTCGAGCTCGTCGACTCGGTCGTCTCGGTGTGGGTCGGGTCGGCGGTGGGCCGGCGTGGTCGGGTGGGGCGTCGTCCAAAGGAGAAGAAAGTCGAAACGAGAAACGGTGGACCGGACCGGAGGTGGATGGGGGAAGGTGGATGTCGAACGCGACGTACCCAAGCTGCATGAAGTGGATGGGGTTGAACATTCAACAAAACCACGCCGTGGTCCACTGTCAGCCATGTACCATGAGCCATCACAGACCTCAGTCTCTTAGGGTTGTTGCGACGTCGTGGACCGTGGACCTTTTCATTGTTTCTCTGGAGCAACTTCTTTCAAATCTTCCGTGGGCCGTTATGTGCGCATCTTGCTGTGCACTCTTTTTCTATGAAGATGTTAATTTCATGGGCCGTCAATGTGTAATTAGACGTGCCATCTTGCTATTTCTGGGTGCGGAGTGCGAAACCGCTTCGCGGAAACAAATCTCACAGACTCTCTAGAGCTGGTAGACTAAAGGATTATACAGCCTTGCAAGCTTGGCTTAAACCCCCAGTGGTCCTCAATTACAGTTTGCTGTGTTATTTTTGCTTCAAAAAACATAAAACCAGCAGTCTCAACGGGTGAACTTGGAGGAAGTCGACGTGCCCCTGTCACATCCATGAGCCCTGGATGGTGTCCAGAACGCCACCCAACTCCACGTGACTCCAAAAAACCACACCCAAAATCTCCATGTAAATGGTATATTTACTGATCAGTTGGGGTGGTTTGAGGTGTCAATGTTTTAGACTTCCAGAGTTGCAGACTTCCATCCATCTGCGATACGAGCCATATTTGCCTACTTGTATGACCAAAGTTGCCCCATAGCCGCCCGCAAGGACGGCGGCTTGCGTGGCAATGTAGGATTATGTAGGCATAATATGACAGACATGGAGAGTATGGATCTGATTCAACACTGACATCACTCCCTTCCGCTCCGGGACTCCCGTGTCAAACCCCGGCGCGCCAACCGGCGACCGCCCGGACCGGGCTCTTCTTTCGCGTCGTCTCTCTCGGGGGACCGGGCGCCCGGGTGGAGGAGCGCCGGCTCGTCGCTGTAGCCCCTGAGAGCTGTGCACGGCTCGATACGGCTCATCGAAGAAACAGCTTACGAACGGAGTCACGAGGAAGGAGGTAGTCGGTGCCGAACGAACGGAAGGAGGTAGTCGGCGCCCATCATCCACGGCCGGATGGGACTCAAAAGCACCCCGAGCTCTGTGACTCCTGGTTATTCGTCTTTGTCACACCTGGTGCATCAACGGCTGTGTATTCATCAGCTTGCCTCTATAGACTCATCATTGCCCAATGTGGAGGTCATGAAGTAAGATCAGAAGTGTTCTTGGGTACATCTGGTACGCGTGAACAAAATCATCACAGGAGAGCAAATATCTAACGCCTTTGGGATCTAAGCCAGGAGCTTTGATTGTAGCTACGGGCCATTGTAGGGGAGTTCTTGCACGTTCTTGGTTCTCATTACAAACACCATCAAGCACCCACTGAGTCAAGTTCAAACAGCTACGGAGCCTGGGAAGCGGGGACCGGACCGAACTGACGGACTCGTTGGACGCCTCTCTCCAAAAGCGGGTCCCCCTAAGAGATGAGAGGATGGCACCGGTGTCCACATGGATCCACGTGGGGATCTACGTGACTCGACTCTATTTGGAGATCAATATATAAACCCAACACACACTCCATATGGGACTGCCATAGATGCCGATACATTGACCCCCAGTCACCACCCCAACTGATCGGCAGGCCTATGGCAGTCCCATGGAGTGTCTCTATATAAAATGCTTAAGAATGCTTTGATATTAATTCTTATATTATCTGTTTTGTTTTGTCCTCCAAGAAGCCACCTTCTTCTTCATGGCTCCACACGGATAAATCCTTCAACGCCTTGGCCCCCCGTCACCGCGCGGGGTGAAGGGAAGGGCCATTCCGGTGCATGTTCCCCGGCTTCCACGGTAGGCGCCCCCACAAGCGGCTGGCTTGCGCTGGGCCACTGCCCACGCCAGGTGACTGGGAAGGCGGCTGTCGGGAGTGGTGTGGTCAGCTTTCCCCCAAATTCTGCTGGAATCCATTTGGAATCACGGAGAGTTTGAACATATAATTCCAAAAGAAGAAGGCCCACTACTAACGCTTCTGCCGATCCAGTTGGAATCAAAAGACCCCCCGTCCCCCTCCCCAATGGGATTCGAATGATTAGAATTGGTCCTTACCAATTGAGACCTCCACCAAACAAAATGACCTCCAGATCTGTTGGTGCTGGTGGTGTCAGAAAGGCCAGCATATAGTAGAGCTGACCCAGCGGGAAGGTTTCAGGCATCAAAGTTCTTCTATTTTTTCGGAGGGGATTCGGAATCATTTGGATAAAACATAGCCTTGGCCTTGCAGCGGATAAATAAATGGTGAGGTCCTTGAGGGAGTGGACCATTGGCTGAAATCCATTCCGTGGTACAAGTACTGTACAACGTAAGTGCAAGGGTCACGACGACCAGGTGGATTCGAAGCATATTTCGAGATGAACCTGCTCACCTGCAGTCAACGGCAAAACTCTCAGTTTGAGATCACCCTGGATGTTTATCCGAAAGGATTTGGCGATGGCGGTGTACCCTGGCTGAATCCTTGAATGGGAGAAAATGACCTTCTGAAATCAGGGGTGGAACGGTATTGACGGTATGCCAATGATTTTCTGTTTTCACTGAATCCGACCACGCGGGCATCTACTGTAAATCATCCAAAAATCTGGAAAAAAAAAGGTGGCCTCACCATGCCCCACCAATCCAACAGCTTTGCGCCAAAGAAGCGATCAAAACTCAGACTCAGAGATTTGTTTGTGTGTGCGTGCTTCATGGGAGGATGCAGTTCCTTGCCGTGCACAAATGAACATGTTTTCTACAACTGACTCAACTGACCCAAATCCTGACCTATCCAAAACAAAAAGAACATGCCTGAACCTGAACATGCTCGAAAAACCCACGTAGGGGCAAGCGGGTAGGTGGAATACGAGAACTCCCTCCACACCGAGCTCATCCTCTTCTCGCCAAACCCCAGAGGCGCCGACCCCGAAGGGCGAGTGCGGTGACTGGCAGAGCCAAACGCACGAAGAACGCATCGAAAAAACCGATGAGAAACACACTGAAGCTTCTTAATCCTAGTAGCAAGAATGCTGCTAGTAACTGCTAGTAGTAAGGCCAGGAGCCCCTAGTAGCCTCTTGTTCTTAATAATAAGTAAAAAAAACGGGTGTCTGGGGTGAAAGGAAACAAGTGTCGTCTTGTTCAACATGTCGGGTCGTATTTGCGCAGACCCGAACTTCCAAGCACCGTACCAGGGATACAATAGTAATTTGTTCAAAAGCACGTCTTGTGATCAAGTCTTGTGATCCGTAGCTTCCATGATTGAGTTTCAAAGAAGATGGGAAACTTCAAGGGACCAACCATCCCAGAACAAACTGAAAGGGACCAACCATGCCCAACCCCAAACACTCCCGGTCTACACGGTCGTCTTGGCAAAGAGTGGCCCTGAGCTCTTTGCAGGAGGGTTTGTTGACTCAGTCAGTTTCTGGAAGTGTCCAGACATGTCCAGACCACTCCCGTTCAAGTATTGAGTGGTGTAATCGCTGTTCATCCGGAACATTATACCTTTCCAAGGCAAAAAGGTGAGTTTCCACGGCAAACCGTTCGTGTAACTGTGCACTGCGGGTGCCACGCCACGTGAGCGCCGTGAGCGCCTGAAGGAGACCCGGATGCACCTGTGCGGTTCATCGAGACCACATCTGCACGGATGAAAAATCCCATGGGGTGCCTACTTTTCGGATCCTTGAATATTTTGAATCAAGAAAACCGGTTTGGAACAAGAACTTCGGTTTCCTATGGTTTCCAATCTCCTTACACCGTGTTGTATCTCCGAAGAGACGGGGTACCTCCCTTCGATTTACACAACTTAGGTTTCTTTGGAGAGTATGTTTCTTGATTCATCCTGGCAAACTTCATGGAGTCAATTGAGTCAAGGAGTGCCGAAACGCGGCGGTACCGTCTCCGCAAAATCTGAAACAAGAACGGTCCGAGAAAGAATTCGTAACGGTCGTGTGAGTCTTGAGATTCCACCCAGCGTGTCATTTCGAGCCGGGTGTGTCTAACTCAAAGGTCTCCAATCATTTCCTCTCCGCCAAAGGATGGGTGGTGCTTCAAAGGAATACAGTAGGACCTTGAGAAAGTGATGTTTTAGAGCTTTGTGCAGTTGAAAAAGGCTCCAACGTTGTTTATGTTTTGAACACAATGACTTCTATGACTTCCTGGTGCTTCATGCTCCTCATCCTGGCGTCGAGAGCTCATTTCACACGTTGGCTGCAGCACATTGCCCGCAGCATTCTGGCCATTCATCCATCTGCTGTGCTCAGTGTAGCTCAGTGCACCCAAATGGGTCCAGCCACAAAGGGATGCTGCTTGCTTATTTTGGTTCGCTTTGTTTTTGTTCGTTCTGAAACAAACAGAAGCAGAGTTAAAAACTACTTGGATGGGATTCACTGTTCTACACCCATCTCTGGACATTGTTCAAAAGGGATTTACATCTATTCTAGGGTAACTTCTTTTTGAGAGAACTACCAGCATCACCAAACTAAAGCAAGTCACCTTAATAACAATCCCACGAAATCCTTTCGGAACTTTCCTGAAGCTGATGCATCGGCATCGTGCCATGCCCATCGAATATTTGGCCGCAAGCTACTGGCCAAACATTCCGCAAACAATCAAACCCTGAGTGAGAACGCACCCATCACCCAAGTCGAAGGGGTTGAAAGTTGATCTTTCAGATCCGAGTTGGATGCTTCCCGGATCAAAGCCCGTTCGCACGGGAGTTTGATGAATTTGGGGCCCTCACCCACAGTTCCAAACGAGCAAATCGTCCAACCCCTGACCTGGGTGTCCATGCAGATTTGGCACGTTGTCCACTATAAAGAATATCCACTACTGTACTCAGGGTCCCCACAGGTCAAGACCTCATGTTACTGAGAGTTGATCAAAAACACTGCTCAATGACTCAATGAGGTCAAGGACCAGGTTCTGGGTCTTTGGACCTGTAGGGTATATTCACTTGTGTGTCGTACTCGCTGCAGAGATCACCAGTCATGTTCAAAAACAAGAACTCGTAAGGAGATACACCGTTTGCAACTGAATCTGAAACAAGAACGGTCCGAGAACAAAACAAATACGTAACGGTCGTGTGAGTCTTGAGATTCCACCCAGCGTGTCATTTCGAGCCGGGTGTGTCTAACTCAAAGGTCTCCAATCATTTCCTCTCCGCCAAAGGATGGGTGGTGCTTCAAAGGAATACAGTAGGACCTTGAGAAAGTGATGTTATAGAGCTTTGTGCAGTTGAAAAAGGCTCCAACGTTGTTTATGTTTTG